ATTCTGAAGTTAGTTACCGTTTTGTGTATATAGTGGGAAGTAAGTTTTTATAAGTGGTAGTAGTTTTCATTGGTCAGTAAAGTAATATGTAACCAGTTAGCTCGACTCGTATATCTACCGATTAGAATATCATTTATATTTGTGAACATTTTAATCTCATCTTCCACCACAGCAATTGAGATATTTATAGATTTTTTTCCTAGAACTTCGCTAACATGTTTGCTACTGGTGTACAGTCGCATTATATATATATAGTTTGTTGTTATATATATATATGACCTCCCTCGAGTTTGTATGACGAGGGACTCCCTTCCTTTGTGAACGGGGAAGGGGCCTTCCTTTACTTCGCGCACGAGGGAGGGGCGCTCCCTTCCTTCGTGCCCGGGGGTAGGTCTTCTCTTTCTTCGCGCACGGAGTAGGTGTCCCTTCCCTCTCTCTGTGCATGGAGAAGGGCACCTCCTTTCGCGTACGCACGAAGAGACTTCCCTGACTCAGTTTATAGTGGAAGCGGATCTCCCACGCTCTATCCCTCTCTCTCATTTCTGTGCATTCGCTCGCACTGCCTTTTCTATACAGATTGTTTACTTTTTTACCCGGATGACGAATCTCATAGCATATCTCCCGTTGCCCCCCCCCCCCAGTTGCCGTTGTTGCGTAGAGGTTGGCTGTCCGTATATAGTAGTAATGCATGACACTATAGGCGAATGCTAGTCAAACCAGTACCCAGTACACTCATCCTCGCATGTTGCACGCGTGGTCGCGCCCGAGGTCGGGAGTCCCCGAAATCCGGAATCCGGAAGAGATCCGGAATCCGGAGGACCGAATCCGTCCGGTCGATTTCTCATCGACACGTGCGTGTAACGCCTGGATCCGCATCCGTCGCCACGTTCTTCGTTCTAGCGCCAGAGTTCCAACACGCTCGCACGCGTAACCTGCCTCAAAAATTGTCAGGGGGAAAATGTACCCCCGGACGCTCCCTTCCCGTACCCACCTTCTTCAGCCAGCATATTATACGCGATGAGGTCACTCACTGTGTTGAATAGTTAGTTATTGAGCGGTTGTTTTAGATAGGGTTATACAGTATAGCGTTGATGATCTTCTGAGGAAGATGACATGTCGTTGTTAGTGATAATGTGCTGCGTATCGTACATATTGCTTTTTATTCGTTTCGCTTCGCTTCAAACTCGCTTTGCCTATGTAATGCAGTGATAAAAGCAAAAGAAAATAAATTAATATGACTTGATGTCAAGTGGTGAAAAACTACATTGTTCGTCTGTATTCGTTCGAGAGTGTGCATCGAGATGTTTGCGGTTCTTACATTTGCGCTAACATTGTGAATGCTTGTGAAGTTACTTCCTATTTTCCCATGCTCCTCGTTTATAGTTCTTAATCTCCTCACATAAGGTGCACGAATAAACACATTATTTAAACCCAATGAATCATCGGCACTCTTTTTATACGTTACGGAACGGCGTTCACGTCTCTCGAACGCAGATTCGACATTCATTACCTAGTTATTATGTGAGAAAATGAAGAAGTATATATATATATATATTATAGGAATTGGAAAAGAATTAGAAACTAGCTCACACGCACGCACGCACGCACACGCACGCACGCAAGCACACACACACACACACACACACACGCACGCACGCACGCACGCAAGCACACACACACACACA